TGTCAGAGTCCGCGATCATTTTCGCGATTTGCGCGATTTTCGCGATTTGCGCGATTTTCGCGATTTTCGCGAAAACTGCGATGGATCACAGGAGTTGGAAGTGCTCGATGAATACTGCGAGGTGTTGTTTAATCCTGCTGCGAATTCTGCTTGGCAGTAAAGATTGAAGACGAGTTTGTGGTTCTACTTGTTTCATGTTCAATGTCTATTAGTTCATTGAAATGCTCTTGAATCGTTCCTTTTTTTCAGGAATCAAACCAAACCAATCACAAAAATTGCAAGTGCCCCATTTGAACAATTGAAACACTGGATATGAAACAAGTGGAATCATGAGCAGTCTCCATTAAACCATAACCATCAAGCATTGGAGAACACCTTGCAGTATTGATGGGGCACTTGTGATTTCCGTGACCCGTCGCGCAAATCGCGAAAATCGCGCAAATCGCGAAAATCGCGCAAATCGCGAAAATCGAATCGCGGACTCTGACACCAGCCTAAGACCTGCGAAATGTGCAGGTCTTGGTGATTGATGTTGGCATAAGTTCACCGATTACAAGAACTGTTTGCAACATTCACTTGGAGCTTCGATGTAGGCAACAAAGCTCGATCCGGTTTTCATTTCGATTCTTCCCACACAGTTCGTGTTTGAATGAACGGAGCAATAACGATTTTGTGTTGTTCTTCATTTCCTTCTTCGTATTTGACTTAATTGTTCGACTATTCAGATATTCCAATTTACGTTGAAATCAACAGCCTATCGAATGAACGCCGTGTTGACCGACGATCTACCCCAATGTGATACCAAAGGCTCTCGAATCTTTTTCGCTGACACGTCATCAGAAAAGATCGTTATCGTTGGAGTTGGAGGTGAATTTTGACTCATCACCAAATTCCAACTTATTTTTCATAGTCATTGCTGAATATTATAGAGAATCTCGTGCTCTCGGTCACTGATCCGAATTGGAATCAAAATTCTGCGTTGCTTATCTACACATCGGGATCATCCTACTTCTGGGAAATCACAAATGTGATTCCTGGAGAGTACTTGCTCTCACTGAGTTCTCAAAATGTACAGTGTTTCTTCGAACTGTTAGAATAATATCGCGTTGGTATGTTAAAAAAGAGAAGTTCCAGGTGCAGTTGCCGTGTTCATATCGTGTCATGGCCATGTCTGACTACGACCTCTTCCTGGCCACTTCTAGTGTCATCGATGAGGAGGCGGGTGACAGTGAACCTGTCGTTGGTGGGTACACTTTTATGCGGACAAAACTTCGCTCCACATTTGAAGTCGTGCGAAGAACGTACTAGTTGATCACACAGTAGCGGTCAAAAGCGTGTTTTTTTTCTCACTTGAAGAACTCCCATCAAATATTTATTTATTGTGTCTTTTAGCGTTTCGAATCCTTGATTTTCAAAGGTCCAGAACCTTTTTCAGGGAAATCAAAGCACATCGTCGCTCAACTCAATGGTCTCGTCAAAGCCGTCCAGGATCCATTCAGACTATTCGCTGAAATTACCATCACCACTAATTTCAACAATGAGCAACGAGTAGGCGAGCCAATGTACTACTCGAATGGTTAGTACCTACTAATAGCGCCAGCTAGCTTTTGATTCCATCATCCCGCTTCCCCGAATGAGAATAACTGATTTAGGAAAATACCGCAGTGGTTGTGGTTATCATCTCTACTTCGGAGCAGCAAACTTCTGCCAGTTCAAAGATCAGCAGTTCTATGCTACGGTGAGTGCCATGTTACGACCAAGTGGTATGAGTGAGTGAAAACAATTAAAGAATAGTATAGCAACCCTGATAGAGCTAGAGGACACTCTGCTTTTGTTATGTGGGATCGGGTGTGAGCCACGGGATCCCAGTCGCGGCGCGCGATAATGCTGTCCTATCAAACGGCATCGCGCGCAGCGGCGTACGTTCGACGGGCAAGCGTCTGAAGGGCTAATGTTGAACTACTTAATCGTATGTTTTCATTTACGTCTCGTAGTCAAGGCCTCGGTCATAGAATTTTACAAAGATATTACCCGTACATTTCTTAGAGAATGAACGAAAAAAGGATTCAAACTTCCCACGCTTCATAGGCATGGAATGATTTTAAAGGCAGCGATTACGATAAGGAGAGAGCCCATCTCTACTCATCGTAATCGCATATGCACCACACGAATCAGTTACTTGGCTGCCAGGGAAGCGAGATGTGGCGCTTTCACGACGAAAGGTGCGCTGGTTGCTGAGCAGGACTTCGAAAGCACTCCGCCCCAAAAGCGATCCGCCCACTAGCGTTGGTGATTTGGACGAGCTGCGTTGCCAGCAGCGGCACAACTGAGCAACTCGATTGGAGCATGGTTTGGCATGTGTCACCAAACGCGTTGCGATGAACTCGTTCATACGTCCGCTTTCTGAGCTGTTACCTGTTCATGAGTGAAAACCAACGGCCAAAAAGGGGTCCCGTTTTGCGTTTTCTTGACGGATTTCTCCGCTTTTTTCGCCACTGGCGTACCATTGAGCACCACCAGTCTTCTATAAATCCTTCTTGAACCTATCGTAACCACTGCCCAGGGTGAATAACGGTGGAGTAATTCCTCGACCATGGCTCCCCACTATGTGAAAGTAGGACGTAAGCAAACCAGCCCTTTTGGCGTTTCGGCTGGGACCGTATGCTGAATGTTGGGGAGGGGATGGGGTCCCCAACGGTCGACGGTTTACTTCAACTCGGTTGGTACGATAGGAGAGTACTGACGCAAGTGGTGCAGCTGGTCCAGCAGCTCCGCCAGAAGGGCTGGTTTGCTCACCCAGGACTAAGCCTTGGAGAGGGGACGGACCCGTCCTCTCTTTAAGGCTTAGTTCTGAGGTAAGCACCAAATTGTGGCGGTTCTAAGGACCGCGTTGAAGTGGTCCGTCCACCGTCGGGGACACCATCCCCCC